ACACACACACACACACACACACACACACACAAGCAGCAGTGGCTTCGGGTAGAAAGAAGGGATCCAAATACAGCAAGGACTATACAGAAGGTTGGCTTGTGTTTCACAACAAGTTCACATAGCCAAGCAAGTGGCAGCCAGTCTCCATAACCCATCTGTGCCAGGTGTGTGTTGTCCTGCCTCTCACGAGAGTAGCAATGGCAAGCCCATTTGGTCTATGGTATTTATTCGCTACAGCGAGGGCATAACTAGATATTGGGCTAGTGGCCCAGACTAGGTTGGGAGCTTCAAAATATGTTTATTGAAAAGAAATATAAATGTACCTGTAAGAGCTTATAGTTCTGATGCAGGCATAAACCTAGACAAATTTAAAATTCAACTTAAGTAAACATGTAATGTCAGCATAAATTGAAATAAATATTAACGTGACAGTGACCAGACATGAGATGAAATCTCTGTGCTGTTGTTCCATTGGTAGGTTGTGCTAGTACACACTAGTAGGGTATGCTGAAGAGGTGGAGGTTAGAGGATCCTAAGTTTGAAGCCAGTCAGGCTATATATACCTTTGAGGCTGGAGAGATGGCTTAGGGATTAAGAGTCTGTTTTACTATTGTAGAGAACCCAAATTTGGAACCCAGCACCCATATCAGGTGACTCATCCAACTATAACTCCTGCTTTGGAAGGATCTGATGTCTTTGGCCTTCAGGGCACCATCACTCAACATGCACATATCTGTACACACATGCACACGTGGACATGTGCACACACCGATTTTTAAAAATTAATCTTAAAAAAATGCCAGGGACAGAATAATGTTAAGAAGAACATAGACTCTGTAGTATAACATAAGGTCAAATATTAGGTCTGCTACAGTTAATGTGTTTCTGATTTTGAGCTTACTAGTGCATGGAATGTCTCTTATTTAACTGAACATACAGGGCAGTGTTAAAAACTGTGGAGGCTTGTTTTCTAGTCATATCTCGCATACAAACTCTTCCAACCAGGACTCTTCAGTTTTAACTTTTAATGACATATCACTTGGTAATGCTATAATGCTGAGTATCCCATCATCCATATCAGGTATTGAAAAACAACATGTGAAGTCATTTTCAGGTTTTGAAAATGACCAGAGCAGATAAAGCACACATGAAGATCTTTGTGTCTCTCTGTCTAGCCTTTCCCTCACCTGCCCCTTTCCAATTCCCTCTCCGTCCTTTTGCCCCTACTTACAACCCAGCTAAGGACTTGAAGCCTGATTCTGACTCCTGCCTCTTAAGGAATGATTCAATCCTGTTTCAGTTGTTTATCCTTGGTGCCCTCAGGAGGTGGACTATGCCTCTAACCTTTTACTTCTGTCTGGAATGAATTGTGTGATTTCAGGAATTTGGACACCTCTGATGTGGCAAGAACCCCAGGCTGCCTGTCCTTGCTGCTTTGTCCACTGGCTGTTCCCACAGCAAATTTCCTTCTAGCCCATTCTTCCTTTCCTTCGAAGACTTTCTTCCTTGGCTTGCTAAGTTTAGTGCCTCATTCTCTCCTTAGTTCTCACGTGTCTTGTTTTCTCCTGTCCAGAAGATTGACTTTCTCATTCTGACATTCGTCCTACAATGGATCCAAACTTTGTTTTCAGCTCTGCCTCCAGTAATGAAGTTTACTAGATGGTGACATTAGAAGAACAATCCTCTTGGTTAATGAAGATAGTGCACATGTTTTCTGAAGGACTGAGCAAGTGAAGCTTCTGTCACTACAGAAGGAAAATACACAGTGAAGAAATGTTTCTTTTCTTCTCTGCAGGAATTGTTATAGCAATAAAGGAAACTAACACATTTTTCTTCAAATTCCATTCTGTGTGAACAATCAGCTGTTTTCACCTTTCACATTCCTGTCCTATGCAGTGGTGGTATCTACGTGCATCTTAGAAGTATATTTCTTTTTACTCCAAGTGATTATGGTTGGAAAAAATTAGTTAATGTGGGAATATCTTGGGTAATAACAGCTTCTCATTTTGATTATTTCCCTTTAGGAAAGACACTGCTGATCCTGTAACATGGAGGATTGTCTTCATACCTCATCTGAGAATCTGTCCAAATTGGTCAGCTGGGCCCACAGCCATGGGACCATTTGCAGCCTCATTCCAAACCTGAAACATTTGCTTTCTGAAGGTTCCCATGGGAACCTGACTGCAATGTGGGGCTGTAGTGCTGGCCATGCTTACCACTGGCCACTAACAGCTACTTGCAGAGCTGGGTCCCAAGAGAGGGTTTGTTTCCAGGACAACCGAAGTTTTAATTCTGATAGTCCCAGTATAATTGGGGTGCCTTCTGAGACACAGACTAGCCCCGTGGAAAGATACCCTGGGAGACCTGTGAAGGCAAAGCTGGACTGTAACCGTACCAGAGACTCTTGTGACTTCTCTTACTGCAGTGAGCCCTCTGAACTGGATGAAGCTGTTGAGGAGTATGAAGACGAAAACACACTGTTTGACATGGTTTGCGAGTCTTCTGTTACAGATGAGGACAGTGACTTTGAACCCCAAACTCAGAGACCTCAAAGCATTGCTCGAAAAAGGCCAGGAATTGTCCCATCTTCCATCCATTCAGGTTCCCAGGGACAGATGGTTGATGAGTGCAGTAATGATGTCATCATCAAGAAAATCAAGCAAGAGATTCCAGAAGATTATTACATTGTGGCAAATGCAGAGCTTACTGGAGGAGTGGATGGACCAGCCCTTTCATTGACACAGATGGCAAAGCCCAAGCTTCAAACTCATGCTGGTCCCTCCTGTGTAGGGTCTGCTAAACTGATTCCCCATGTAACATCTGCCATCAGTGCGGAGCTAGACCCACACATTATGTCAGCATCCCCCTCTGTGATCTCCAGACCAATCATCCCAAAGACTGCTAGGGTATCTCTGGCTTCACCAAACAGAGGACCCCCTGGTGCTCATGGCACTGCCCACCAGGTGACCATGCAGATGCCTGTGAGCACATCACATCCTAACAAACAGATCAGTATCCCTTTGTCTGCCCTTCAGCTGCCTGGACAGGATGAGCAGGTTGTTTCTGAGGAGTTCCTGCCCCATTTGCCTAGCCAAGTCTCATCTTGTGAGGTAGCCCTTTCTCCCTCGGTTAACACAGAGCCTGAAGTGAGCTCCAGTCAACAGCAGCCCCCCATTGCTCCAACCATAACCACTGAAGCCACCGCACAGTGCATTCCAGGTATGGAACTCGAGGTGACCTTAAGTCCCTCATCCACATACTTTAGAGAATTCTGCGCCGTCAGCACTTTAAGACTATTGGTGTAATTTGCTAGGGTGTAGTCATTTTTCATTCTCAGGAAGACAGAAATAATGAAATATGTTTCATGTAATGAATACTATGGAGGAACTCCATCTGAAGATGACCTTTCGGCAGATGCACCTGTGGGCTGAGATGGTGACTGGAAGATTGTACTGTTGATGGCCATATTTAAGGTTCATATCCAACCTTAGCTGAGCTTTTTATAGTACATTTATTTTTTAAAACATTTCTTTCTTCTATTGGTATCAAGGTAGTTAAATCAACTTGATGTTGGATAAGGTATATGATAATAGATTTTCTTTCTTTATTTATTTGAACCAGTTTCTTATTGCTACTCATTCTAGTGTGATAATTTAAACTGATTTTTCAAAAAGCAACAGGTAACTTCTTCAACAAGTATTTGATCCCATCTTTCAAAACTTAAAAAAAAAAAAAAAATCAGATACATTTCTGGAGTAGGCCAGCTTATCTCAGTACATTCACATTGAGAGGCTTGAATTATTCACAGCTGCTACCTCTACAATTCTAACATTCTAAAGCTCTTTAATTCAAATATGTGTTGTTTATTTGAGCTAAGATATTGCTATATAAAGGGGGTTTGATGCCCATACTTTGTGGGGGTCTATAATTCAAATCTAAAAGGACACAAGTAGATATATGGACAAAGGTGAATAGACCCACAGAGAATATAGAAAGTGGCACGCTGTGGCACATTTAGTCCTCAAAAGGGCCATGTGTTTGGGAGAAACATCCTCTGTATAATATTTATTTATTTATTCATGTATATGAGTGCTCTATCTGCATGTAATGGTAGAAGAGGGCATCAGATCATGCTGTAGATGGTTGTGAGCTACCATGTGGCTTCTGGGAATTGAACTCAGGACCTTTGGAAGAATAGCCAGTGCTCTTAACTGCTGAGCCATCTCTCCAGCCCCCAGGGAAATATCCTTAAAAGACTGAGCTACCTGTGTCTTTGGCCTGAAATTTTCTAGAATTAAGTTGCTTTTACAAATATGCATTTACAGTTACAGTTTCAGCCTCAAGGTCTCCAAAGGGAACTCACCACTGAAGACATTTCTTCCAAGGCCCTGCTGACAGTAATGACACATGCTGAAAATGGTCATTTCATCCAGTTGCTTTAAAAATCATGCTGGTTGAAAAATTGTAGCATTTTATATGGTTGTTTTTCTTAACTTTTTATTGAAATATGATTCATATCATAAAAAACATTGTTAAAAATTTTATGAATGTTTGTGTCTGAGTACATATGTATATCACATGCTTGCCTAGTGCTCAAGGATGTCAGAAATGAACATCAGATTGTGAATCTTCTTGTGGGTACTGGAACTGAACCCAAGCTGTTTGCAAGAGCAACGATTGCTCTAACTGCTGAGCCATCGCTAGGTGCTAAAAGCATCCCTTGAAGTGCTGCTCAGCCCCAGAAGAAGCCCTCTACTCAGCAGTTTCTCTTCTCTTCTCTTCTCTTCTCTTCTCTTCTCTTCTCTTCTCTTCTCTTCTCTTCTCCCACTTCTTGGCAACAACTTACCTGCTTTTTATGAATTCACTTATTCTATATATTTTACTATAACCTCTTGTGACTACTTTGATTTAGTGTGGTATTTTCAGGATCAATCCATATTAAAGCATTTTTTATTGCCACATAACATTTTACTATAAATACATCATACTTCATTTTTCTTCAGTCGATGCCCAGACATTTAGCCTGTTTGCTCCATGAACATTTATATACAATTATTATGTGAGCATTTCCTTTGATTTTTGTGTGGGCAGCTACCTCAGGATGAGAAGCCACAGGTCTGTTTTCTAAAGCCACTTGGTTTTAACTCTTAGCACTAATGGAAAAAGGGTTCCTGTTTCTCTGTATGTCACCAATACATTATTTTCCATGTTTGAAAAATGCCTCCTTTACTTTTCAACACCAAGGAGGCAGAGGCAGACAAATCTCTGTGAGTTTGAGACCTTCCTGGTCTACATAGCAAGTTCTAAGTCACCTGGGGCTACATAAGGAGACCCTGACTTAAAACAGAAAATTGCTATGCTATAGCATGTATAACGTAGTCTTATGATCTAGCCTTAGTATTCCAATAACTAATGGTATTGATTTTTTTCATGTTCTTATTAGTCATATATGTATATTATTTTGAAAAATTTCAGATTCTTCACTTTAAAAATAGATTCTCTTGTCTACTTTAAGTTCTAAGAGTTCTATGTATTCTGAATGTAAATTTCTTACATGATTTGCAAGTATATTCTCCTATTCTGTAGGCTCACACTCTCTCATTCATCCATCCATCCATCCATCCATCCATCCATCCATCCATCCATCCATCCATCCATCCATATATTCTCCCTCCCTCACCTCCCTCTATTTTCCCACGCCCCCTCTCAGAGGAAGGCTCTGAACTTGTAATCTTTTTTCCTCTACCTCCCAAGTGCTAGAATTACAGGTATTACCATATCCAATTATGCTCTTTCTTAAAGAACTTTATACTTTAATTATTGTGAATCCTGTGGGCTAATCTTCACATTGCTGGACACATGTCTCTCAGGAAGAAAACATCTTTGTATTAGGAAATCTAATTTTTAATATATGGAGGGTATAAGCAATACTTTTCACTTAAGTAGTTGGTTTATTCCCCTCTTTTTTTTTTTTTTTAAATCGGAGACAACCAGGCAGAGTTTTCTATATTCTCAATTTATATTTAATACAACAATTCAGAAATGTATTTTGCAGGGTCATCCAATGTGTTCACCAGCTTACTAAGACCCACACTGACCCTGTGAAACAACTTGTGGGACTTGACTGAACACCACATTTGCATGTTACGGTATGATTTGGAAAAGAAATTCAACCTTTTTGAAAAAAGCGTTATTCATTCTTTGACTAGATGTATTACATTAGGGTTTTTTTTTTCTTCCTTTATTGAAATTGTACTTCTTATATCAGCTATAATAATCAGGCATGACCAAGATAGCTTGTACTGCATCCAGCCATGAACTGATCTGACCTTACGCTCACAAGGAGAATTAGTTTGACCCAATGTAGAATGCTCAAGAAAAGCACTCTGAAGAGCCAGTAATGTCAGGCTTCTGAGATGGTTGTTTTTGCTATTTATTCTTTAGGCTTTTTGATTCTTTTGGGGGACTCACCACAGCTCCCAAGTAAATCACACATGGAGGCTTATTCTTAATTATGAATGCCTGGCCTTAGCTTGACTTGTTTTTTGCCAGCTTTTCTTAACTTAAAATATTTCAGCTACCTTTTGCCTCTGGGTTTTTTCCTTTTCTTACTTCTGTACATCTGGCTGGGTGACTGGCCCCTGGTGTCCTCCTCCCCTTGTTTTCTCCCCTTGTTCTCTTGTTGCTTGCTCCTTTTCCTTGTTTTCTCCTTCTGTTTATTCTCTCTGCTTGCCAGTCCCCGCTGTCCTTGCTATTGGCTGTTCAGCTCTTCATTAGACCATCGGGTATTTTAGGCAGGTACAGTAACACAGCTTCACAGAGTTAAACAAATGCAACATAAACAAAAGTAGCACACCTTAAAATAATATTCTCCATCAAGATGTTCTTCTCATGTTGTGGAAATTTCCAACATGCTACTGGCTTCAGAGAAACTCTGTTTGGACTGGAAACAGCATCGAGATTAATAAACCGCAATCAACACTTCCCTTTTGTTCAAGTTACATAAACTTAACATAATTCACCTTTACTTCCTGAAGCCCAAACTAGGTTCAAAATATATTCTAAATTTTAAAGTTTAACTTATTTACTTGTGTTTGTATGTTTTTTTTTTACAGTTGATCTCGCACACACACACACACACATAATCCAGTATATACAAATGTGTGATTACAGTATAAGTGGACCCTACACAGTTTATGTATAAAGAGTGATTAGGACTAAAGAGAAAAGCTGTGGGAAGATAGCTGAATCATTGATTCAGCCTGAAACAAAGAGGAGTTGTTCCAGTTTTAGTGGTACCATGCAATCATTGGAGCACATTAATAGTAAACCCAGAGTCATCTCAGATGCGTTGGTGTCATATTAAGGAATGAAATCAAAGCACTTCCTATTAGTATCATTTCACCAAGAGTGAGCCCAGACTTGAATTCTCTCCTTCACTCTCCATGTTCCTATCTATTGTGTGAGACTGAACCTGTAACTGCCTGAAGGTGGTCTTGTGAATTTGTCCATGTGTCTCTCCTTAACAAAGGACTTTGCTCTTGTATTGAACAACACAGGAAACAGCACAGGAATGAGGGATACTTTACAGAAATCTTTAACAGAGTTTTACATGGGGTTATGTCACTGACCAGCTGATCCAGATAACAAATAGTATTACAAACATCATTGTTTACCAGGCAATATCTGCATGTTGCAAGCAATGTTTATACTAGATATCCATTTTATAATGAATATCAACCTCTGCTTTTTCTTTTTACAGCAAATGATCATTAGAATACATAGACATTACTATAGGAGCCAGGTACAGCACACACCTTTAATCCCAGCACTCCAGAGGAAGGAAGATCTCTGTATATTTGAGGCTAGCCTAGTCTATATAGTGACTTCTGGGAGAGCTAGAGTTATGTAGAGAGACCCTGTCTTAAAAAAGAAAGAAAGAAAAGAAAAGAAAAGAAAGAAAGAAAGAAAGAAAGAAAGAAAGAAAGAAAGAAAGAAAGAAAGAAAGAAGATTGCAGCTATACATTTGCTTAGGTTATAAAGGTTGATTACATGAGAGGTCTAAGGCAAGTAAAGTTGGTTGTTAAATTGTTCTCTTAAAGGGGTGTATGTGTTAAACAAACAGGCTGAGTACACAGTAGGCTAGCAGTGGTAAGTCATCTAGAGGTGTATTATTAACCTTGTCTTCGAGGTCCAGCAAAAGTTCTATTTTTTTTTTT